GTGGTGAACTTCCTTTTCTGGCGTTAGACTAAAGTCGAATAGTTGAAATCGAGAGAAGTTTATGACTCTCATTTATTATAATTAAATTATTCCACAACGATTTTAGTAATCATTCTCTCAAATAAATACGAATTCATCAACTGTAAAAGATATCGAAATTAAAACCTGGCTAATAGGTTACAAATAAACTAAAATTTGGACACTTACCAACTAAGCGTAAAAGGCTGTTACATAGAATGAATACATAAAGGTACAACGTCTCCCAGAAAGCAAGAAAATTGCATGAATTTAATAAGCTCAAAATTCCCTTTCTATACTCCAAATTTAACTAAATCAATGGTAATTAACTAAAGCCTAAAGCTTTCCCTTTTTCAATCATGCGAATTAGCTGACAAAGAATCATAAGCTAAATTAAGCTGGGAAGGTAATAAAAAATAAATAAAAATGGACTAGGTGGTGGATAAAGAGTAGTTATAAATGAATGGGAAAGTTATGAGAGCATTGTCAATGAAGATTATTTAGGACATAAAACTAATTTTGTTACTACGTGAATGAAACCTCTCCCATTACGAAGCTACTCGCATACTCGTATGAGCGGGAAACAATATGGAACCAATTTACTGAAAATAATCGGAATAAATCTGATTCGAAGCACAGCAGTGTCTCTCCGAAACATACATTTCATTTGTATGTATTGATAAAATATAATGTAATGGCTTCCCAACTTTCTCCTTTTCAGGTAGTTTGGACGTTGCAGAGTTAGCAGAGAGCATGAAGTCAAAGTGGAGACATTATCACAGTATGTAGCTGGTTCGAATTGCATATTGATTTGGTGAACTGTCTCCTTATGTCACGATAATTGGAAATACCACAAATACGAGCCATTATACTGATTTTAAAGAATGAAGCATAAACTAAATACATTGCGAGTATGCAGCTTCCTTATTGCCAATATCCCCCAAATGTCGATGGGAGTAAGAGAGAAGGCGATTTCGACCAAGTCCAGTTCTCACCATAATATGTATCGAAAGCGGCCTCAGATATTAAGCTCCATTCTCAATTAATTTAAATAATCTCCTTTATGTTAAATGAATAATGGGGTAAGTGGTTGGACATCTCATTTCAATCGCTTTCATCTTTCCTCCCAACTCTCTAAAGTTTAACTTCATTAGGACAGGCTCTTGCTACATATGCACTTGTAAATGCCAAGTGTCTAGACTTATACACTTTAGTCCAGATGGTAATTTCTCAGCGTCAAATAGCTTTCCTAATGCAGTATTATAAACGCTTGCTTTTAAAGAGTTCCAAAATGGGCTACTAAGTCTTTTGAAGTAAAAATAGCTCATTCATCAAATAATGAATATGCAATTATAAGGTCAAGAGAAGATATGCCGAATCGTAATCTGCAGTGATAAATAATTTATGGGGAATTCAAAGCGATAAAGGGTATGTGCCTTAGTGTGAACAAAAATAATCGCAAAATTTTCCACTTAGCATATTTAGATTATGTAAACTGTGGAGTTGAAATTCGAAAGCAACTGCATGACCTTTACCCTGTAAACATCGAATTTTTTACTTCAAAATATGTTGTACATACCCCATTGCACATTTAGAAGAAAATATAATGAAGGCAATAGCAGCCTATAGACAAAAAAAGAAACTTTGCGGTTTATTCTTATTGACTGTTTACATAAGCAGGTACAAAGTATTTAAAGTATAAAATAATTCTTCAACTAGTTTTTCATAGGTGCATATGCACTAGTTGGTATATTGAGGCGGCCTTCTTAGTGGTAAAGAACTCGTTTTAATGGCCAAATTGTTCCACTTCCTATCTTTTTTGAGCTGGGGTGTGAGATAGACTTACCTCCTCGTGGTGCACCTTGGGCAACGTATAATCATACGGCAAAAAAGTCTATCAACCGGTAATTGACTTCTCACTTCAGACTACCATCACTCCACTGTATGTCATATTCGACTACTTCCGCAGTACTCATCTTACCCTTTCTGAGCCTTGGTGTCTGTCTGTTTCTTTTACTGCTATTCCTCCTCCTGAATTCTTCTCACTTTGATGTTCCTCCATCTGTGAATCACTCTTCTGTTCCTCCCTCTCGAATTCTTCTCATTTTGATGTTCCTCCTCCCCTCTATGAAGCCCGAAGTCAACTAAAGGGATAATGATAACTATCCAAATGCCTGCCATTTGTTATTAATAAATAAATTTTTTTGAGCTCTCATCTCAAGGTCTGGAAAGGTACTGGAGGCGCTAGATGAATATTTTTATTGAAAGTGAAGAGGGGAAAGAAGTGATTTGACAACTAACCATCGCATACAAGTAAAACGCGGATATCATGAAATGATGTGATAAAAAAGTTTAATGTGCTATGAAGTAGTTGGCAATTCGAGGGTAAAATTAGGTAAGCCCCTCCCATAATGCCCTACTTTTATGGCTTGATTTGACTTTTAACTATTGTTGCTTCTCCGCGTAACAAAATTGTGACTCAGTAGCAGAAATAACTCCTCAAACAAGCATCATTTACTTTGCATTTTTCCTAATTGGTTTTAAATTAAAATGCCTATTTTCTTCTCATTGCCGATTCTGCTGACTTATGATGCTACATAAAACTGAATAGAAACAAATGCGTTAGATAATCAAAGTCTAACACTTCGAAAGTAAAATGGCATGTATTTCCTTCTCAAAATCCTGGTTATTGAGAGGATATAAGACTCTTCTGATGAAGCAATGACATTACTTCTATAATCCGTTTGTGCTCACAACATATCAGTCTGCTCAGCACTACTTTTTGCGACACAAACTCTCGCTGTGAGTAATGCTAAATTATTAATTAGGATGCATGATGGCTCGCTTGTGAGTTGTAAATGACTGCAAACGATTCCAAAGGGGGTGCAGAATAGCACAAGCTCGAAGCAAAATTGTTTGATTCCTATGACAAAATGAGAAACGTGTTATAGAGACATTGTATGCTTTATTAATTACCAGTAGTAATAATGAGTAAATAAACAATTGTGAGTGGAAATATATCCCATTGTCCTCAAAACTTGCTATTCAATGGCAGCGAAGCTTGGACAATTTATTTTTTATGTACTGAATTTAATTTGCGATATTTTACTCAATACCTCAAATTCTTTTGTATAATTCACACCTTGTTATAAAGTCATGCAAATCTTTAGTAAATACGACTCAATCAGTGCTTCCACAATTTCAATTAGGCAAGAATTGTGCAACCCTAACTTCACTAAATACTACTATTTAATCATCTCGTTTACTAACTTATAAAAGTCTTGTTTACGCATGTGAACAATTAAACATAAGCTCCTCTGAGGAAAGCTACGTTGACATGGAGACACTGACTTCCAACAATATACAATAACAAAGCCCTATTCGATTTCCGTTGAGGTCTATTTAAGGAAAATAGCTATTTTTAGACTCAAAAGATATTTTTCCCATTGCTCTAGTCCACTGGACTTGGTCTCTTTGAGTTGCGATGCGAAATGCAGTAAACATGTAATAGATAGATGGCACTGGAAATGGGCGGTGGCGTTACATGCAGGGTTATTATGGAGACCGTAATTTGGGTGTGTGGGAGAGAGAGAGAGAGATGGAGCCTGTTTATAATCCAAAGGTATAAATGCGAATAATTGTCGTCCGGAAGGGCAGAGAACGTGAGTAGCAATATTTCATTCAATTTCACTAAAAAGTCGTATGGAACATTGCAAAATGCGACTTCGCGAAACTTGAATATCTCTGTGGATGTTCAACTGCATGAAATCTAATTAAACTAGAACTATTAGGATGCAACAAATTCACTCAATCTAAATATTCACCTTTCTGTATTGTCACAGAAAACATTGTAGTTTTCCATTCATTTATCCCCTTGAGTACCGCATTTAAAATCACAATAGATTATTCATGCAATGGTCTATTTCTGTGTCTGTTTTGCTCTTCCGTGAGAAATAATATAAATATTGACTTGAATTTCATTAATCGATTGTGTTTGTTATAGAGTTTGATGTGATCCTAAGTTGTGAAATAAAATAGTGAATTTGAACCAAACAATATGGTAGCTCCTTTCCCGCTTCCCCATGATGAGTAATTGCGTTTGCTTTGTCAGACTCTATCCCACCGTTAATAATATATATATATATATATGCCTGGAATGGGGTTATCAAAATGTTGCTTTTAAATAACAAAATTTTTATAAAACAGCAATTAGACATCGAAAATGCAAGGAAATAACTCACGAAAAGTTAAAAGTGTGCCGACGCGAGAAGAGGTTGTACTTTGACGTGATGGGTTTCACAAGCGTCGATTTTTCTAAACTACAATATTAGAAGGCATAAAACGAAGTTTCATTTAGGCCATGCATTATATTTAGAAAGATAACAATTACCCCCAAAAGGGAAAAATGGGTTTCGAGGTTGGAAAAACGGGTAATTAGTGATAAGCCCATCTTTGAAATTGATTAGAGTGTCATACACAACAAATTAATAGAAGAAACATAGAATTAATTTTGATCGTATCTCGTACTTATGGTTAATAGTCGCCTCAATTCGTTCATAGCTTCCTCGTTTCTTTGTCCACTGTAAATTAACTGGTAAAAAAATGTTGGTACAAAACGAGTTCCCCTTCTCACGCCTTTGTATTCGCTAACTTGCTCCCCCATGGCGAGCGTTATCTTTCTACTCGAACACTCCTGCGTTTATTTATCAGGAATCAGGCTCCTTTCCTCCCCTCCCCCCTCCCCCTCCCACCCCCTCCCCCATAACAATTGTTATAACCCTTGCTATCTACCTTTGTAAAGCTGGAAAGGACAATTGATTACCTTAAGACAGCATTTCCATGATATGTCAAAAAGTAGTTATATAAAATCACTCGACGTAAAAAATTATGTTTAGAGAGGGCCAATATTTTAAATAGATATGCCCGAGAAAACAGAAATAATACGAGGACAATAAGTCTGCTTTCAGACGAGATGAGGATGCTTACGTAAAGAAAAGCTTTCGCTCCAATGCCCAACTCCATAATTCCGAAGCGATTGCACGCGATTCACATCTATATTCCACCATTTCTACGCCCGATTGCTGAATATTAGAAAAAGATAGGGGGGTAAAGTTTGTATATCGAAAAACCTGAAGTATACATCTAGTTATTAGACTATAACTCTCAATCAATCATTAAGCAAACAATTTTTTCACTCACCAGAAAATTCCACACTAACTGGATTGATCAATTCTATTCATCAAAATTCATGCAAAATCCATTTTTAACATATCAGTGATTTAAACTATTGAAAGACCTACTCAAATGTTTTTTTTATTAATGCACAGCTAGGCCATAGTATGTATGTGGCTAATTGCATAATAGAATACATCCTTGAATTTATTCATCATCAAAATGGCCGCTATTCCTTCAAGAAACTCACCGAAACGTTATCCTCAAATTGATTAGACTATCAATTTTGCTAACCTAAACGTCTTTGTACCAAAAGAAGCTATTAGTGTTTAACTAAATTCCTTAACCATTCAGATAAAATTTAACTAGCAACAAAACCAGCTCATCTTAATTATCGATTTTTGATTAGAGGAAAAGTCGGAGGGATTCCAATAAAAAGTGGAGGTTTTAATCAGTGCTAAACTTTGTCAAGTTCAATTGTAATATAATGGAAACAAACTGTAAAATGGCATCCCTACCTTTGACTTTTTCCGTTCTCCTGCGTGTACCTATGGTAACGGAATGGGTAGAGGTGAAGAAGGGCAGTTCATTTTTGGTGGACAAAACAAGACTAGGGCATTGAATAGGCTGACCATAAAAAGAGTCAATAACGTACGGGTTTCTTGCAGCCGATAATGAAACTCCTTCCGGAATGGAAGAATTGGTCAATGTCTGCCCTAAAATTGAGGAAAAAGCAGTGCTTTTAGTTTGTGGCAAAATAATTTGCTCAAGCGTTCTCAATCGCAAGAGAATGTTGAAGTCAACAAATGCTAAAAGGAGTTTTGAAAGATCTTTTGTCTTGATAGTACTAAAGAATAAAGAATCACGAAACTCCTTAATTTTCCGTTCCATTCTTCTAGTAAAGTGAAAGATAGTGATTAAAAATGTGTCAGATTATGCTGTCAGGTTTGAACAGCAATAAACGAACGAAAATTGACGTTCTATCAGAAGAATTCTCCATGAGAAAAGCAGGTGGAAATAAAAAAGAAGCAGGTACAAAATCTCTTTACGAGATAGATTATTCATTAGCCGAATTGTTTAGAAATCCCAGTTACCGAAGATGGCAATTACAAAGCTGTACACGTGGATGACTGCAAGACTACACCAAACATGCATTTAGAAGATGAGATTCACGGTTGTTTAATCCAAAAAGGATGTCAGTCGTGGGCAATTGTAATAGTCCGCATGAACAGTTAGCCTCATCAATCACTCGTAAATTAACTTAAAATGTGAATTTATTTGGGAATTGACTCGCATAAATCTACCGTTGATTCTATTATGCTCCTCCTTTGAACGTGTTTCTACTATAAGTAGCCTTCTTTGCATAAGTGGAATCCAGATCATCGATTTTTGCCCACAAGATAATCTCTTTCTGAGTAAGGTTTGCTTTTCTTTTTCCCCTAAGTTAAAAAGACCCATTTTGTCGGCAAAACGACAAAATAATCTAGTAAAGACGCATTCTATTTGAGGGTTTGAACATTTTTCCAAATAAGTGAGCAGTCTTAAATTTTCTTTTCTCAATTATATCGCCTCCTTCCTTCCTTCCTTCATCTTCTATTTAAGTCGGTTATCTTGTGACAAACAAATTGGAAAATTGTCTGCTATTATTATTACTTGATAACCCCTGAAGATGTCACTCCCTCACATTTCACTGGAAGTGAAAATATTGTCAGAATAGACTTGGAAATTATTTGCTGCACATGGTAAAACACATTCTTTATAAAATTGCGTTTCTTCCATGTGCAATCGAAAGCAGTTAAAGTTATCATTCTGAAAAGAAAACTTTGTCCGTTATTGAAGATAAAATTCACAAGGTCTTACATATACGTCAGCAAACACAGAATTCCGTTGGGTTTACAAAGAAGAGGAATATTAAAAGCGGCCTAGCTGGTATCAATAAATCGTTCTTGTCAATTGGAATAAATAAATCATTGCATAAAATCAATTGAACAAGAAGTTTTGAACACCGCAGATTTAAATTCACCCAGTTCAAACCCATAAAAATTCTAGCTTTTAGATATGAGATAAGATGTATGTAGCGGATCGCTACGCTAGTAAAGCCTGACTGACTCAGAAATCTCTATGACAGATTCCCTAAGTAAAGCCTGACTGACTTAGAAATCTCTATGGCAGATTCTCCTGACTCAGAAATCTCTTTGGCAGATTCTCCTACATCTAGACCGACTCAGAAATCTCCATGGCAGATTCTCAAACATCTAGCTACCGGCTCAGAAATTTCTATGGCAGATTCTCCAACATCTAGCTAGGAATCAGAAATCTCTATGGCAGATTCTCCAACCTCTAGCTAGAGAACAGCTAAGCTATAGCTCAGCTATAAAGAAAACAGACGTGTAGCACGGAGCGCGTTTATATCTGTGGCAGATTCTCCTACATCTAGCTAGACTCCCAGAACGGCAGATTCTCCAACGTCTAGCTAGACTCCCAGAACCAGGGAGATTCTCCTACATCTAGCTAGACTCCCAGAACCAGCTAAACCATAGCCCAGCTATAAAGGAAACAGACGAGTAGCACGGAGAATTCTCCAACATCTAGCTAGACTCCCAGAACAAGCTAAGCTATCGAACCAGCTAAGCTATAGCCCAGCTATAAAGGAAACAGACCGAAACTAGCTAAGCTATAGCCCAGCTATAAAGGAAACAGACGATAATTCGGAACACGTATATTCAGTCACGTAATGATCAGAAAAGTGTGCACGGAGCACGTTTATTCAGGACGTATCTTGCGGATCAAGTCGAAATACGTTTTATTCGGTACGTATATTGATAGCGAAGTGTAATGTTGGAAGTTATCAGATAACTCTAGCATGATTCGTGTGAACATTAATATCGAAATACTTCTTAGTAATATTCTATAGCAGGATTTTTATTTGGTCATTGATG